CCCCAAAACCCCAAAACCCCAAAACCCCAATATAATTCAGTAAGATTGAAAATATTGTCAAAAAAGAAAATGAAGAAAAAAGAAGATGGCTCTCTTGTAGTAGAGAAAGATTCTAAGTAAGCTCTCCATGTGCCACAAGTTGATTACTGAGTGTCTTTTATTGCAGAATCATTCGTATATAGAACCAATGTGGTATCAATCAAGACTTCGTCCAAACGTAAGCAGACCATAAAAATTAAGAACGCAAACGTTCCTATAAAAGCCATGGGGACCATTGATCCGTCAAGTTCAATAGACCTCGACAACATCATCACTGATTTCAAGAAGATAAAATATAGTGACTTCGGGTACGACTCAGACAGCCACTTTCTTGAGTTCCTACAAATCGACAGAGGATCCAAATGGAACTTCCTTTTCAAGCAGCTCTTCCCTGATCGCAAGAACCAAGAAACCCTTTACAACAAGAACATGCACAAGAAGAAGACTAAGAAGTGGAGGAAGAGGAAAACAAATAAAGAAAGCATGAAAGTTTATAATAAGGCAAACAAGACTTATAAGCAGTATTTGAATGTGACACCTGCTTTCCAGCCCATGAAAATAAAAGTTCGTAAACACTCTTTTGAATTAATTCAAAACTCTCTTTAGCCCAAACCATCGAGTCTCCGGAGGAGCCTGAACCCGCCCAGTATGGACAAGAGCTCTAGAATGTCAAGCATGTGAGGTAAGGCTCTTTACACATAACATTACTGGAACTAATTATAGACGAAAGTGATAGAATTTGTTCAGTATCAGACGATGTCAGGACCGAGCTAGCACTCACCAGGCCTAAGGTATACCTTACCTTTGTTAGAACCTTGTAATATTTTCCCATAGAGTCTTTATGAAAAGCTCAGAAATGAGAGAATAGATTTAATTAAACTTAATCATGCTCATCTGCGTGAAAAACTCAAATTTGATGAACTAAAGACCGATGCTGAGAAGATGGAGGAGACTCTGAACCAAGGCATTAATTTTGTGAAGAATATCGCTGCTTCCCACCAAAGGGACTGAAGGAATGATTTCCAGAACCAAAAATAAGTTCCACTCCATCCGGAATATTCAAAATATATCATCAGATAACAAGGGGTATCTCGCAGTATCAGTTCTCAATGGAAGCAAAAACTTTGCTCAAACGTTCAAGTTCAACTCTAGGCAAAGAAGACAGCTAGACTCTCAGCCTGAACAAAAGAAGCAGGGAGCACACAATTCAGGGCTGAATTTGTTTGAGGAAGAGTAAGTGGTCTTCTTCTCTTTTATTTCAATTATTCCCAGCCACTGAGAGATTCCTTCATGAACTTTCTAACTTAAATTCAGCCTAAGCCCTGAAGGCTTCCATAACGACTCCAAATCCCTTGACGAAGACTATAACTTCGAGAAGGAAGAGTCCTTGCATATGAAGCACAAGAACGTCAAAAGAGTAAGTTATCACAATATGTTTTGAAAATTAAGGTTTACCTTCTTTGGCTAAATTTAAGAAGTCCCAAACTGGTTTAAAATTTATGTTTAACAATGCTAGTCCTTAAGCAATCATTTAGCTCAGAGTCTTCCCGCCCTGTCTGCTTGCATCCTTGCAAGCAGAAGCTTTGGGCTGTCTTAGCTCTATTTTATACAAAATAGATTTGTGCATAATAGCTGTTCATGCTATTATATTCATTTGGCTGAGGACTATTCGATTTCGGCATGCCCATTATCGTTTATACAAGCCCAAAGTTTATGGTTACTTTCCTGAGTAAACTCCTTGACTTCAGGATGTTACTAAAAGTATTTGTGCTAGCTTAAAAGGTCTGAAAATCTTTCTTAGTTGATGTTAAACCAAATTTAGAGATATCCCAAAATATTAAGCGGGATCTGAAACAATGATTATAAAAATAAGAGCTTTCAGTTGCACCCTACCAAGATTGAAGAAGTAGAGGTCCCTGTAAACCTGGAAGAAGGTAACCACTTTAAGAATTGCCTTGCCAGGCTAGGAAATAAGCACATTTGAAGTATTTTGTTCTGGAAAATTGAGATTTTTAACAGTATTTGGCTTATAGATTACACTGAAACAGCTAAAGATGAGAGAAGCAAGACGATGGTACTATCTACCCAAGCTCGCCTTGCCAAAAAGTCCAAACAGGGTCAAACATTCCTATCAAAATTCCTGAAGCTCCGAAAACGCCAGCGAAGAAGACTTGACAAGAAATACCCTTTAAAATATCGTAAGTTCAACTTTAAGCCTACTCACAAGGACTGGAGCCTTACTTTGCCAGCTTTAAATTTTAGCTGCCTAACTTTTATGAAGGGATTTAAAACCCTAAAATTAGCAAAAATCTAAAAACAAGGACTTATTAGCCCCATCTAATATTTTCAACGACTTTCTCTATCCTACTTGATGAGTCATTTGGAAATCAATCCGTAAAAATTTAATCATCTTGTTATAAAATCATGCTATATATTAGTAACAAACATTTTTCAGACCCATATCAGCTTTCCTAAAATCTTCACATAGCGATATCATTAAAAAACTCAACCTTCTCAATAGTTTGGCATAAAACGACTGAAAAAACTACTAATTTTAACAAGAAATTTGTCAGATTTATTAGTTTATATACCACTTTCCGTAAAAATGGTAGAGAAATACCTATTCAATTACCGTGCAATGCTGATAAATCTCTCTCAAACCTCGAATGGTCAGGCATTGGAAGAAATTAATTGACATTTTAAGAGATAACCAAGAGCCATGTATCTGCCTCGAAGCAGGCATGTTAAGAGCCTTATAAATCATGCTAGTTATTATTAACCAACAACATTATATTTACTGGCTAAATTATATCTTATCTCCCAAAAGAAGACTGTATTGTATGAATATTCTAATTGGAGCATAAATACAACGATCATGAATAATTTATTCCCTCAACAAGACTTCCTTTAACAGATTTAGGCCCATCAAAGACAAAAAACTACCCTTCATTTACTCCAAAATATCTCTTCTCAAGTCCAAGGAATGCGAGCTTCTGAAATTTTGCTAAATCAAAACAGCTTTTCCTGAGCACCCAGGCCAGCTTACCATTCAAGTCCAAAGCTCGTCGGGCTGTCAACCGCAGCCTCGATGCTGAGCGTCTAAGCACACAATTCAGGAAATTACCGCAAGGCTTTCTGTACATGCCTTCATCCTTAAAACTTAAAAGGTAGAATATTTGACCATTTCTAACGTTCAACCTAAAATTATTCCTACGGGGTTTTGGGGTTTTGGGGTTTTGGGGTTTTGGGG